GGAAATTGTTATTGAATATGTCAATGCTGTTATAATGAAATGCTTCTTCTAATTATGTGGTTATTAAATATTTTTTTAAAAAAGAACAACAGCTACTTTATAGTGCTTCTGGGTAAATGAAATAAGAATATATATTTCTCCAATGTGCCTCTTCATAATAATTACCTGAATCACTTTTTAAAAATTAGATCCACTGTTAAGATATTCTTGCTTCTTGCTGTTTGTGTTTTTATAGTAGATGGAATCCCACTGAAATGGGTCAACAGCCCATGGAAAACAGACAGTGCAGAGACCTGAAAGTTCAGTGCCTTGCCACAATGGGAGGAAGATCATCCCATACCTACAACCCCCTTCCAAGGCTCAGGGATTTCTGCGAAAGAGGTTGGCAGAAAGAACATAAGAGCTGGAGGAAGGGGTGGAATGTTAACTGGAAATGTCCTCTGACCACTATACCAGCAAGCTATAGTTACACCTCCTTCCCATGTTCATCAAGGAGTCAGGGGGGAGTCAGTTATCCCTCCCACCTAATCAGTCAACCTCAGCTGCATGTGGGGGAGGGGCTAAGGATATAAAAGCCAAGAAAGCCATGAGGCACCTCTCTCACCATTTTGTGCACTGTTGGGAAGTCACAGGATCTATATTTGAGTGTGGAATTTCCAGTGTAGCTGTAAATGGGGGGGCACCCACTCTTCTGTAAATAAACCCCCACCCTATGCTCTGTTAGCAAGTCCAATAAACTAGTTAGGATTAAAAAAAAAAAAGAACAGAGCTAATGGAAACTTTCATTACTTCACCAAAGTTGACCCCATGCCCCATGTTGGCAAATCCTTTGGTCTTTGATTTTTGTTGTTCTTTTTGAGACATGGTCTCCCTGTGGCCCCAGCTGGCCTGGAGCTTGCTGAGTGGACCGGATTGGCCTTGAGCTCACAGAGATCTGCTGGGCTCTGCCTCCCAAGTGCTGGGATTAAGGACGTGTGCCACCATGCCCAGCTTTTGTATTTGATTTCTTATCCCTACTTTTTCACCCTTAAGTTCATTGCATATATATTTTTATGTAACCCGCTTCAAGTTATTTCTGAAAAAATGTGTTAAAAATTGCCTCTCTTTGGAATAATAAAAATATTGTTAAAAAACTAGATCCTAGGCTTCTTCCTTACTAGTTCACTGGTGCCACAGGGTGGGACTAGTCTGGAACTAGCACGTCTAACGAGCATCTAAGGAGAGTCTGATAACTGCTCAAGTTTGGGAAGCAGCTAGATTGATGTAGAGCTCTTGACACAAAAACTTCACTAAATGGTAGATATGGTAAGGTTAGGTGATGTGCAAGTTATGTTGATAACACAAATTCTTTCGAAGAAATGAAATAAGCTAATAAACGTAACACTTTTTTAATGCCAAGGCTAGTTTTATTCTACAAATATCCCCAGGTTCACATAACTTTAAGTGAAAAAGCTGCTTTCAACAGCCAGGTTCCTCTATCCTTTGCAACAAAAGACTGTCAATCACACTGATCTAAAAGCAGTAAGCCATACAATACAAAGCCATTGAGTAATTTTAATTCCTAGGACTGGCTGTTTTCCTACAATAGAAGGCAACAGGTTTCTTTCTCCTCATTCTATAGTCAAAGCTTCCTCTGACTAGATGGGCAATTTCTTCCACTCCTGTTTATATGTACTATATTTGCTAAGTTTTTCTGTATGATAAAAACACATATAAACATACTCTGATAATTCTACCGGGTCCACAAAAGGGAGATGAAAAAGTGACCTCTGAGAAAGGGAGAAATGGTGGATACACTGGAAAAGTAATCCCAATGAGTCATTCCATTTCTATTAGGATGAATAGAACTTGGGACTTGCTTCTAACCATAGAATATGGCAGATATTGGCAATGCATTGAGCTCCATAGAGACAGAGCTGGGGCAAGTGAGAGCTGGACAGGCCACTGGGCAACTGACTCTGTGCCTTGCTGAGGAAAAACAACTAAACATGGGCAAAGGAGTTCCTAAAAAGCCAAGAGGCAAAATGTCATCATATACACTCTTTGTGTAAACTTGCCGGGAGGAGCACAGGAAGCAGCACCTGATGCTTCTGTCAACTTCTCAGAGTTTTCCAAGAAGTGCTCTGCGAGGTGTAAGACCAAGACCATGTACATCTGCTAAAGAAAAAGAAAAGTTTGAAGGCATGGCAAAGGCTGACAAGGCTCAGTATGAAAGAGAAATGAAAATTTATAACCCTCCCAAAGGGAAAAAAAAAGAAGTTCAAAGAGCCCAACACACCCAAGAGGCCTTGTTCAGCTTGCTTGTTCTGTTCCAAGTATCACCTCTAAATCAAAGGAAAGCATCCCGGCTTATCTATTAGTGATGCTGCAAAGAAACTGGGAGAGATGTGGAACAACATTGCTGCAGATGACAAGTAGCCTTACAAGAAGGATGCTAAGCTGAAGGAGAAATATGAAAAGGATATTGCTGTCTACAGAGCTAAAGGAAATCCTGATGCTGCAAAAAAGTGGGTTGTCAAAGCTGAATGAAAAAGAAGGAAGAGGAAGATGAACAAGATGAAGAAGAGGATGAGGAAGAAGACGAAGATGACGATGATGAAAAAGTTTGTTCTAGCACATTTTTTTCTTGTCTATAAAGTATTTAACCCTGTTACACAACTCACTCCTTTTAAAGAAAAAAATATGAAATGTAAGGCTGTGTAAGATTTGCTTTTAAACTGTACAGTGTCTTTTTTTTGTATAGTTAACAACACTACTGAATATGTTTTTAGATAGCCCTGTCCTGGTGGTATTTTCAATAGCCACTGACCTCGCCTGGTACAGTATTGGGGCTGTAAAATGGCATGGGAATTTAAAGCAGTTTCTTGTTGGTGCACAGCACAGATTAGTTATATATGGGGATGGTAGTCTTTTCATCTTCAGTTGTCTCTGATGCAGCGTATATGAAAATAACTGTGGTTTTGTTAACTGAATACCACTCTGTAATTGCAAAAAAATTTTGCAGTTGTTTTGTTGACATTCTGAATGCTTCTAAGTAAATACAATTTTTTATTAAAAAAGAATATGGCAGATGTTTAGATGATAAAACAATGTTTTTTAAATATACTGATGTCACTCCCATCATTATATTATATAAAATTCTATCTTAGCAGACTGGAGAGAAAGACTCTCTTTGCTGTCCCCAAGAAAGTGCCCCTTTTATGAGAAGGCCAAATGGCAAGGAACTATAAATGTCCTTTAGAAACTGAGCATTCTTTCAAAAGACTGCAGGAAAGCAAGGATGCCAAGTCCTTTAGCTTCAAGGAGCTGAGTTATGTCACCAATGCAAATGAACTTGGAAGTGAATTCTTCTCTAGTCTCTAGATAAGAACACATCCCAGTCAGCACAGTGGTTGCAGCCATAAAGACCCTGAACACAGAATCAAGTTGCACTCTACCTAGACAAATGATCCACAAAAATGAAGAAAATAAATGTATACTGCTTTAAGCCACTAATTTTTGTGACTATTTAATACAGCAACAAAGAACTAATTCACTCTCTTTTTCCTTTAGAGCCAAACAAGTTTATTCATTATAAAAGTAAAGATATATAAGGTCAGTTTCTCAGAATTTAATTACCATTGAGGGAAGTCTGTATGATACACTAAATTATTAACCAAATCTAAGCAATTTTGGTAATTTCCTGCTCTTGGGGCAGATGACCAGCATGACAGAAGTGGTTCATTTTTTTTCTGGACTAATAGTGTTCTGAAGGCTGTGAGTCTTTCCTTTCTATACCCACAAGCTCTTTATATATCCTTTCCTGCACTATCTCCCACCCATTAATGGAACTCTTCAACAATAGGCTATAAAATCTCTGGATCTTTCACAGTTCCCCATGTCATTCCCTCTTTGACTTACTGGTTAGGGAAGGACTAAAGCCAGGCACTCAAATGAAATCAGTGTAAAGATTACCATTCTCTTAAAGGGGAAAAGAAATGAAATCTTTCTGACTAGGGCAGAATAATCCCCTATAAATCTCTTCAATGACGGACCCTGAGTGTTGCACTCTCAACATACCAAACAAGATGTTCCTGCTGGTGCAATAGTGGAGTGTCTAGTGTATGTACAACCAGCAAATTTTCGATATAATGCCCACTCCTAGGAGTAGAACACACATCTGGTACTGTAGACCTGGCCAACCCCCTGTAGCAGGGGACAATATAGGCCCCAGTGGGAAGCCACTGCAATTGTGTTGGTAGATGGAAATGAAATACCTGCTAAAGTACCAACACCCATAGGTTGTTATGGCAGTCACTGTTTAGATGTTCTTGCTTCTTGCTGTGTGTGTTTTTATAGGAGATGGATTCCCATTCAAACTGGTCAACAGCCCATGGAAAACACATGATGCAGAGACCTGAAAGTTCAGTGCCTTGCCACAACAGGAGGAAGATCATCCCAATACCTACCACCCCCTCCAAGGCTCAGAGACTTTTGCGGAAGAGGTTGGCAGAAAGAATGTAAGAGCCAGAAGATGGGGTGGAGTATTAACTGGTACTGTCCTCTGACCACTATGCCAGCAAGCTATAGTCACACCTCCTTCCCATACTCATCAAGGAGTCGAGGGGGGAGTAAATTACTTCTCCCACCCAAACAGTTGACCTTAGCCGCATGTGGGGGAGGGGCAAAGGATATATAAGCTGAGAACACCAAGAGGCACCTCTCTCACCATTTTGTGTGGCTGTTGGGAGGTCACAGGATCTGTATTTGAGTGTGGACTTTACAGCACAGCCGTAAATGTGGGGCGTCCACTCATGTGTCAATAAATCCCTACTCTATGCTCTGTTAAAAAAATAAAAAGGAAAAAAAAGAAATGAAATCTTTCTTAGAAAAGCACAATCATTAGAAAACAAGCCTATCCATTAGCATATATTTTACTTTGTGCAACTTTTTAGATTCTGGGATTGCTGGCAGGAGGCAGATACTATTTTTTAAGTGCAAAACTAATTATATGCTCTTACCTCAGCAGATTTCTTGTGTTCTTTTGGATTTTTTGACTTCTTCCTATACATTGGCCCAGAAGTAAAGGAAGTGGAAGGACCTACAAAAGATAATTAGAAAATATACGGAAACATATTACCCACTACTTTAACTAAATGCTAACAGATTTATGAAACATATGATGGAGAAGACCACAGAGAATTTATACTACTGAAGGAAGTAGCTAAACTGTACCCAAGAGCTTCTAAATGGAGTTTAACAACATTAGTGATCACCCAGAGTATAAAAGCTTTAATAATGCCTGCAAAGATTCAACTTGGTGTAATTATACCTCATAACATTTTGCAATTACCCAATTCATGTTCTACCTAGAGAAAAATATCTACAAAAACTGTTAAAGTGAAGCAAGTACAGCAACTAATCTTTCAGCATGTCTCCAAAGGCTATTATTAAGGCTTTAAACAAGTGATGATTGACACACAACCAAACATTTAGTACCTTAGTTATAATAAAAATTAGGTCCTACAGTTTATGTTCTCAATACTTTCTTCTTCCCTTCCATAGAAGTTCTATTAAAATATTATTATATCTGGATTTTGTAGGTTAAATAAATTTAAAGTAAAAATCAGTGTTACATGCCACATAAAACCAATTCTTCTGTTTACACATTTCTAATGAAATTAAGTGAGTAACAAATGCACTCAGCTTTCATTCTCAGAAGCATTTTTAACCATTGGAGGAATCATGAAGCAGTATACCCTCAAGTCAAAGAAGAGAGCCTCAAGGGGCACAAATACACAGGTTACCAGCTAGTTCTACTCACACTCATCTGAACTCTCACTGCTGCTGAGAAGCCTAAGGCGTTTCATCATTGAGCATCCTGGGAAAGAGAACAACACTGAGTGAAACAGTCAATATACATTTGTCCTAGAGGTCAGTGAACATTGTCCCACATTGGGAGGCTGACACCAAAGAAGTCAGCCTGGACTACAATAGTGAGACCATCTCAAAACAACAAAAATGCCCCCTCCCCCAGCAAACAAACAAACAAACAAACAAACAAACAAACAAAAAACAAGTGTTCCACAGAACCGAGAAGTAGCAGCAGCAGGCAAATTTTACAAAGTGGCTGATTTCTATCATCAAAAATACTGTCAGATGACCTACAGTAATGGGAAATGAATACTACTAAATCTTACAATTAAAAGTGCACGAGGCTATTAGCATTAGCCCAAACCACAGTTTCTGCTGGCTAGAGACTCGGATGTATCCACTGTCTACCAAAATAAAGGGGGTCAGCTGGAGTTACCTCTAGTAAGAAACCCCCACAAGAACATGAAAGGAAAAAAGCACTCATGAAGACAGAACTGTCAAGGGCCTAGGCTGAATGGCAAAAAACACAGGTGACTGAAGAATGCAACTGAAGAAAGTAAAACACGTTTTACCTTTAACAGCCTGACCACAGTGCCTTGCTACCTACCCTTTCTCTTTTCTCACTCTTTCCCTGTTCTTATTTCCCAAATAAGAAGCCCAAACTAAAATACCTATATGTACACTTCAAGGTTTCTTATAAAACTTTTCAATATTTTGAAGCTTTGGATTACAACTTCTAATGCTTCTAGTGTCCCCTGAGTGTTGCCAATAATAGGTTAAAAATGTCCATCACGCCTTAGAGTGTAAGAAAAAAGGAAGAGAGGGGCCAGAGAGGTGGCTCTTCTTGCGGAAGACCCAGGTTTAAATTCCAGTACCCACATGGTGGCTAACAACTATCCATAACTCCAGTTCCAGGGATCCAATGCCCTTGTCTGTCCTCCACGAGCACTGCATGACAAGGGTGCACATACACATGCAGGCAATACACACACATAAAAATAACAAATATGATACAGAAAGAAACAAGGAAGACACAAACACTTCAAATCACAAAATAAGTGCTAGAAATATAAGGTAGAAAAGACCTTGACACAGTTAGTGACTGACATTCTTTTATGTTCTATAAGATACAAAAAGGTAGTAGGTACTACCAGGGTTCTACAAGGAATAAAGATGAAAGCTACTGATTTCAAACCTCTCACAATCTACTGAGGAGGTATAAGTCCAAGTATATGGCCATTTCGAGTAATCATGTCTAAGAACAGAGTTCTATGTCTGGCATAATTGTATATGGAGCTCCGTGGACCCATTCCCTAAAAAGGTTCCCTGGTAAAGTTATTTCCATTAAAACAATGGTCAACCTTTGGAAATCTCTTGAAATGGTCATAAAGACATACGGCAAAAGAAGAAGCATCTAACACAGTCTACTACTTGGTAAGTGATAATTTGTGTTATTTTGACCTCGATCCATTCATTCCCTCTGTCTCTGCAACACAGCTCTTATGGCAGACTGGTAGCTAAGAACATAGCTCTTCTCCAGTGGCCACTTGGAAACTTTTCTTCCTGGGAGGGTAGAACTATCAACATTTTTCATTCTAGTACTAGCTATCTGCAACTGAGACTGGTGAGTAGGGTTGGGGGGGGTTCCTTTCTTCCATCTAGCTCCCAATCATGGTGTGGAGGCAGTGCCTTGGGTGTGATGCCACTAGAAATACTGAGCCCTTGATTGCCTAAGCCCTAAGCTTGATGGATGGGAGTCCTACAGGAAAGGCAAAAACCTAGGAGACCTGAGATTACCACTCAGAAGTACAACATTGCTCCTATTCCATGTAATAAAGAAAGCTGCAACTTTTCCTAAGGAGAGAGGCAAGCTACAAAGGAGGGATCTAATTCTTACCCCAATGGATCTGACTGCATTTGCAAACTGAGTTGCTCAATATACCAAAGCTAACCAGGGAAAAAAGAAGGTGGGAAGGAGCCTCTTGGGATCAAAAAGAATCTCTCTCTGCAAGGTTGGGATTATATCCAGGGCTCTGTACATGCTATATGTGTTCTACCACTGAGGTACACTTACTCCACCCAAAAAAAAAATCTCAAACACCAGTCCCAGGAATTATCTATTTAAAGGCGCCCTAATTTGATTTGATCAGTTTGTGTATCAGTTTATGCTCTGAAGACACCATTGAAAACAGCACTTCAGAGTACTTGCTGCTCTTGCAGAGGAGCTGGGTTTGGTTCCTAGCACCCACATGGTGGCTCACTACTGTCTGTAACTCTGTTTCCAGGTGATCTGATGCTCTCTTTTGGACTCGGTGGCATCAAGCACATACATGGTGCACATATGTACATGCAGGCAAACACTCATATGCATAAAATAAAAATTAATAAGTCTTTAAAAAAGGATAGGAGGGTTTTAAGTTCTAGGCTAGCCTGGGCTACATAGACTCTGTCTTAAAAGAAAAAATAAAAATAAAAAATGGAAGAATTCCTAGCTATAATATCTGTTTATTAGTTTCCTAGTGTTACAGTAACGAATTACCACAAATTCAATGACTTAAAACTATAGGTTTATTTTTCTGTTTCAGTGGGACAGAAGTGTGGTCTGGCCTCACTGCACTAAAATTAAAATATTGTCAGGGCTGCAAGTCTTCTTGGAGGCTCTCAGGAAAATCTATTTCCTTTCTTTTCTTAAAAAATTATTTTTATTTTTTTCAATGTATTTTTATTGAATTTCTGTACATTTCATACAAAACATCTTAACCATCTTTATACCACCTCCCCTTACCATCTGCACCCCGTACAGGCCCCCTCACCAGATTTCATGCATTCTGTCATATATGCTAAAGCCTATTGAGTCAAGTTAATGTACTCAGATGTCCCTTAGTGCAAATTCATCCACTAGGGGTCTAGCCAGCCTATCTTGTTCTCCCTTAGAGAAGATCAACTCTCCCTCACCCACATCTCATCTCCCTCATCTCACCTCCTAGTAATCAGCTTTGGGCCTGCTGCCCATTTCCCTAGTTCTATGCTGGTTTTTGTTTGATTGAGTTAGCATGGGTCTTGTGCATGCTGACACCATCAGAGTAAGTTCACATGCAATTTCTTACTATATGATAAATATGGATCCTTATATTTACAGACAAGTATGCCAGTCACCACTCATCAAAGAAGCTTCTTTTTCAACAGACAGACAATTCCCTTTCTAAGTTCAGTTTCTGGAGGACTCGTATTCACTTCCTGGACCCTGGCCATTTTCCTCCATCTTCAAGAAAGCAACACTGCATCTCTCTGACCCTGCTTCTACAATCAAGATGAATTTTAGACTTAAAAAAAACCCCATAAAATCTTTAGAAAAAGCACACGACAAATGGTGTTCCATGAAACTAAAAAGCAAATGAAACAACAAAGAGGCAAGTCTACAAAATGGCAGAAAATGTTTTCCATCTATACATCTGACAGAATACCTAGAGCAGGATTTCTTAATTTTTCCCCATTTTTCCATTTTTTCTTTTCCTGAGAAACCTTTACACAACCCCAGATACACAAATCAAATGTTTGCTGACAATAAATCATAGAGAAACTTGCTTTTAAACAAGTCTTTGGTATACATATAATTTTACTATTTAATCAAAGATTAAAGCAAATCTGCATACTAATGAGACAGACATGCTTAATTTATCTTTACATAAAGAACTGAATCTTGGCTGAATGTCTGATACTGAATACAGAGAATTTTCAACATTTTTCAGAGCTGACTGATTTCTCTCAAGATTTATCTTTATTTGTGTGTATGTGTGTAAGTTTGTATCTGTGTTGACTATATGCCATGTATGTGCAGGTGCCCAAAGGAGGCCAGAAGAGAACCTTGGATCCAACGGAGCTGGAATTATAGGCGATTGTGAGTCACCTGATATGGGTGCTGGAAGCTGAATTCAAGTCCTCCTGAAGAGCAGCAAGTAATCTTAACTGCTGTACCATGGATCCAGCTCCCTTATTAATATTTTGGTTTTTATAACTGTCAATGCCGAGATGCCATTTCACACAAATACATACTATAAAGTGGCAGAAATATGTTTAAAAGCCATTTTAGAAATTGTTGAAAGATCTATACTAATCCCAAGCCAAAATTAATAATTTAAATGAAATTCAAGTCAGCAAACAGAACAGAATTTTTTTCTTTTGAGACTGGGTCTCATCATGTAGCTCTGGCTGGCCTGGAACACAAAAAACTGCCTGGAGAACTAGGATTAAAGGCATGTACCACCATTCCTATCTTCAAACAGCAATCTGTTTTTCAAACTTATTTATTTTATGTTTATGAGTGTTTGCCTGCATGTATTTATACACCTGCACGCCTGTTGCCTGTGGAGACCAGTAGATGGCACTGGATCCTCTGGAACTAGAGTTATGGATGGTTAAGAGCCATCATGTGGGTGCTAGGAATTGAAGTCAGGCCCTCTGCAAGAGGAACAAGTGCTCTTAACTGCTGAGCCATCTTGCCAATCCCTCAAATAGTCATTTTTTGTTGTTTTGTTTTGTTTTTTGACAGGGTCTCCCTAGTCTCAGGCTGCCTGGAAGTCACTATGTGGACCAGACTAGCCTCAATCTCAAGGGGATCTACCTGCCTCTGCCTCCTGAGGGCTGGGATTAAAGGCGTGTGCCAGCACGCTACCACACCAGGCTCAAATAGCAATTTTAAAATTCAAATAATCTAACACAAAATATTCAAACATACACTAATTTGAAAATATTAAGTCTCTGCTTTCTATAGTAGAGAAAAAATTTTACAGTAACAGTGCTGCAATTTACATTACACAACAATTTTACTTCTGAACCAAGCTGTCTTAGGCATGGTTCATTGGTGTTGCATGGTGTGATAGCACAAACAATGTAAAGTGTACATCTTGTGTGTTTAGAACCAAAGCAGCTGTGAAATTATACAATGTAACACAGGGAGAGCACTGCTGGAAAAAATCTTAGAATCTTTATGCATTTGATTTTGAATCA